TGATTGGACCAAACAGCAGTCATGTATGTTTACCTCTCCAAGTATCGGAAGAAGAATACGCGAAACGTCACGGGCATCTATCACACGAAGTTGTGAGCAGATATGTGCAAGTGTTTCAACAGCCTAGTGGTGAATTTTATTTCCTTAATCATGAGTTAGTTCGTGATACAGGGCATATTCGTCTATGCTCAAAGTGCGCATACAACCCGCGTAAATCTAAATTTAGTATTGCGAATGGACATGATTATGGTCGTTGCGAGTCACTTCCAGATCTGAGTTAAATTGGAAAAAAATGCTTACCCCCAGCGCGATGTGTTGGCCTGGAATTCTCTCTCTCTGGAAAACACTGCAATGGTCACGCCATTTGTTTCCCCTCAAGCGGCCCCTAGGCGTGTGCTAAAGTTTTGTCTGTGAAAAACATTGATCGCAAGCCCCGCGTTACCTTTAAAGGCCCAACGGAGAAGTGGAGAGTCCGCAAGCATCTATTTCGTGGGTTGTTCGAGCTGCCCAGTGATTCCATATTCTTATGGCTGAAGATTCACAAGGAAACACATAGTTTTTTTCGGAAGGAACGAATTGGAATTGACGACACGATTAATTATGTGGAGAGACTAACTGCATTGCAAAATTCGATTGAAAACGATGTTAAGCGAAATCACTGTACTTGTTTGTTGAAAACAAATCATTGAAGATGCATTGATGAAACATCATGAAAATGAAATATATCGTAATTAAAGTATGCTGGATCATTACGAAACGCACAGTTTGTCGTATGTTTTTATAGACGGAGCAGAATCAGTTGAACTTTTGCAAGAGGCTGGTGACCAGGCGCCCTTTGACGACCTGATCCGGTCCCTTCTTTTGCAAAAACACTTTAAGGCTATCTCCACTCGTAGTTGCTATCCGTATTGCAATCTGTCGAATCTGATTGGCTGTTGCTATTCGCTGCGATAATAGAAATAAGGATTTTTCACCAACTCCAGTCGTCTGGAGGCTATTCTATCGGCAATGGAGGGCAGTGACGAAGAGTTTCTCCTCGCTGATGACGATGATCTTTTAGCTGCTGTTTTCGCTGTGGTCTGCGCGGAGCCAACAGAACAAGCGACGGCTCCTTCACTTCGTCAAGGCTCAAACAAAGGAAGAATCAAGTTCTTCATCACGCAAATCGTTTTTGCGTTTTATTTCTTCCAGTATCTTCTCGTTTTTCTCCCTGTTGTGATCGAGTAGTTGTTGGAGCAGCGTTGAAGTTGAGACTGGTGCTGTGTGTTGTAGTCGTGCCTTTTTTGCTTTATCTCTTCCTTCTGGGCGGAGGCTGGACTCTTCCTGCTCTTCACTTGATGACTTTTGGCCACGTTTTTGATGAGCAGGTAGTCCAAATGCCGTGAACTTGGAACAGCTTTTCAGTATCATCCAGCACGACAAAAACTCGAACCTACTACCATGGGTTTCCTGATACAACGTGCCGGCGTCATTGGTCAAGTCGTCTTCGCTTTTACCAGACTCGTTGCGACCTTTTACACGAGATACACACCCCGAAAACTTTGCTACATCGTGTGATATGATGCTCCAACGGTTTTTGACGGCTTGTAGAGATCGAGCTTCACCGTCGAATACTGCTGCCGTGTGCCGGCACACATCCTCCCAGAATGCAGCAGCTTTTTGGTCCGTTCCTTGTATTGGGTTCTCCGCAGAAATCTTGTACGCGCGAGCCAGAGCTTCGTCCTCCTGAGCACACCACTTCCGACCTCTCCCCATGGCGCCTGCGATCTTTCGGTTGAGTGAGTTTCTATTCGTGCACCAGAGTTGCTATTGGGGGTCCGAATAGCAACTCGAATCAGAATTTCTATTTTCAAATAGCAATAGCAACTCCGAGTGGAGATAGCAGAATATATTCTTTCTGATTCCGTCGCTATTTTAGCAATAGCAACTCCGATAGCAACTCGAGTGGAGATAGCCTAAGTGCGCACCAGGCGTATTCCACGAAAGGGTTAATAATGGATAATTATCATGACCGGTCACAAATACATCAATATTTTTGTAAGTGGCCCAATTTTGGGCTACTAACGGTATCGTATGAGACGGGTCAGAGAAAAATCCCTGCCGAAAGCTTCAGCGAGCAGGACAGAGCTGATTGATAGCGGTGTCCTCTGGCTTCACTTAATATCTTTTTTGTCAAACAAACCTGCAAGGCGTCCGCGAACTCAATATCTCTGCATGCATCACTTCTTGAAGTTGCCTTGTTAATACACGCAGCATATTATACATCTTAGTCGCTCCTAGATGTTTGGCTTCGTCACAGGCTAATAGCAACACCACATGCAAACCACACGAGAGTTAGCAACATGACACTGATAGATATATTCAGGACCTCACACAAGAGGATACTGAAGTAGTGGGCCGTAACAGCGGAAGGAGGCTCTGAGTCAGAGTATGGTAGTGTAGTCTGGTAATGAGAGGTTATACGATAGTTAAACTATAGCTGCCAACTAGCCTCAATATCCAGCTCTAGCACCTGAAGTGCACCTACCTGTACGCTAACTGTTGGATTGTGCGTCTTATGTGTTTATCAGCCTTCCGGTGTGCTCGAAGAAGCGATGGAAGTGTTGTTGATATACGCATGCTTCATGCTGTTTATCACTTGGAAAATGATGCTAAGATCAATACACTCTTTGAAACGTAAATGCACCACCGGTCATTTTGTAAATGGGACTGCCCAGTATTTGACGGCACCTTTGCTTGATCAGCATGTGTGTGTGTGGGTGGGTGGGTGTAATAAAACCTAGTGCCCGCAAACCCGGAGAAAAGGTAGTTGAAAAATATAGGAAGGTCCTAATGGGAATTACGATATAGCAAGGTATCAAAGCAAATTAAAGATGAGATTAGTTTCATCTAATGTAGCTTCGTACTGCATACGCCTTTTAGAGAAATTATACAGCTAAAAGAACCCCGCTCGATTATATTAAAAGCAGTATTCGCTAACAATAGTCGGTTCTTCAATTTCACTGGATACGAAAGAGTTTTGATGATGGAGCAACACGAGAGGGCAGCCTCCCACGATGTAATTCCCTGGTTGAACGTCGGTGTCAACATTTCCTTGTGCTCGATTTGGACATTTGGCAGCATTATGTCCCTGAACATTACCGCAGCGCCCGCAAGCGTATTTTTTTCGAGGTAAGGGGGGGGGCAGTGCCGGCAAAAAGGAGAAACTAATGGCAACGAGCTGAAAAGCTTGGGCATACGCTAGCACAGTAAACGCGTGGTGGTAAAACTTACAGACACCTGTGGTTGATGTGAGGTTCCCACTTTAATGGTACGTTGCTGCGAAAAGGTGTCGACATGGAAGTTGTAAGTGGTGTCAATCCGGACAGCGCGTTCAAGTCCCGTTTTCAAGATTAATGGAACGAATCTCGCATTCCTGTTGAGGTCTCGCTGCACCATTAGGTCTTATTTGCTCTTTGTCTTGTTCCTCCATGCTGCTCACCAGGTCATCCACGAAATAAGAGTCTCTGTACTTTTGCGAGCAGTACACCTGGAAGCACCCCAGACTGGCTGATCAAACGTCTTCTTTGCTCAAGGTGTCACTGCATGAGCTGCAGCTAGCCATGTGGCTTCGTTCTCTTTCTTCTAGATTGCAAAGTACAACGAGTGCTTCGTAGACTTGGCGATCACGAGCTCAGCAACAGAGCATTGTTTTGCCCTTCCACTGCGCTGGCTGTTGTCCCGCCGAACAGAGCACAGACTGCACCGTACGCTTCTACCTCATTCCACTGCGAATACTGCGACGAATTCATTTGGTGTGAGCGAGCTGTTGCCAAACTTAGTCCAGCTTCTTGGATGGATTTCAAGCAAATATTGAGCAGCCGACTGGGATTCTAGTTTTCCGTGGAGTATTTGTGTGCGAACACCGGGAATTTGGTCTCGAATATCGGATAGCATATCTTCATACTCTAGTAGTGCTGATGATGCTTGCAGCTGTAAGACGAGACGTTTGATACTGTCGATATTTGGCTCGACTGACCGGAAGTGGATGGACGGGCTGAGAAAATGTGCAAAGCACAGAAGTTGAGACTTATTTTGTTGCCGCGGTTGCTCAGTCGAACTTGCTGTTTATCTCGATCTGCAAACGTGCACGATCGTGCATGTTGATCCCTGCGACGATGCAGCTCGCGAAAAACCACTCGGAATTATCAGCTGTCTCCTTGTAGATGAAAGCAATCGCGACATGGATTTTTTCAGTCGCCATCTTTTCCGATCCGTAGCACGCACACACCATTATAGCTGGAGCTCTTCATATAAATTCCACCGCCCTCAAGCACCGGTATCCCATTATCTTGAGCAGCAGCCAAAGCAGAAAAAGGATCGAAAGAAACGACATTTGCTGTCAAGTTGGCAGCAGACTCTGGAACGAACCGGGATTGAGACGTTCGAATGCTCGCAAAATGGGAGCTTGTCGTTCCTTTTCTTTTCTGCTGTCATCATCGTCCGATAGCTCTGTAAACCAGCGCCGTTCGGTGATCAACGTGCATGTTGTCAACTTGGTTTAGGGCTGACGCAGCTCGTACGCGAGCGCAGTTTTGCTTCTACCAATGCACTCTTAAACCCAGGCAGTCTAATGAGCACATCGAAAGAGCACTGCCCCACAGCTTGGCGAGTGCACAATGTTTAGAGAGCTGACAAACCAGGCGCTAGGCGGGAAGAGCGCAAGTTTTGTGTTTTGACGTGTGGAGGGCCGCGTTTTGGAAAGAAACATGTTAATCACATACGTTAGACCTACAGCCCCAAATATTCTTGTGCCCCGAGTGACGCTTTTGATCAATTGACTTTTTCTCATTAAACTCTCGTTTAAATTTTTTTGGTAGTGAAAGGAATTTTCTTTGGCTACCCATAAATTGCTCTGGTAGTAAAACGTCTAATCAGGTTTTTACCCTTTCACTACTGTACCAGATAAATTTCACAACCAGAGAAATTTTAGGGTCCGTCTGATACCCATTAATCGTCCAATGGGCGAGCGGACAAAATCAGCCCATTTACAAACAGATGAGACCCACGTGTTCTCTCGCAGCGCAACTCACGGTACTTCTTCAGCTCAAAATTTCAAGCACACAATGGTCATCGGAGATGCCCCCTCGCAGACCTGCGGATACTGCAGCGACGAGCTGTGTGAGTGGGCCCAGTACGGCAAAGACATTAAAGGAAGCAGGCTGCGCATGCTCATGTGCCGCCACAGTCGACGCACCTCGCGCCAAGTGATGCGTACGCTAAACACTACTACTACAAGATAAATGTCGCTTATCAAAGAAGACGCAGATGCACCTTCCGTTTTGTGTGGAATCGGAAATTCAGCGACTCAGCAACACTGTCAGGTATATTATGCTGCTATTACTCGGTTGCTTTGGGCTCAAACTCATCAAGATATGTAATCGTCCTGTTCTCTTTAGGCGGGTGTGTACGATCGGATCGCCTACTGCGGCAACATAGACAACATCTAGCGCAGATCGCACCGTGAGCGAGGTTGATGCCAGTGCGTGACGGGAGTGGAACGCGCTGAAACACATTACGTGGAACCCCCTGTGACAAACCGTACAGCCGAATAGCGTTTTCCTTACGAAACCGCGCAGTGAAGACAGGAAACACGTAAGTTTTCCAGCTGAATGCTTTCTTGAGTTTGGTTTATTGCAGGGAGACTGTCATCGACCCCTACGACATCTGCTATAGGTTTGCGTGGCGATGACTTGCAATGACGTTCTTTCTCGAGCTTGGCTCTCTGCAATGCTGTCAGCTGCTCTGCCACGCGCCGTTTGAAGCCGCAAAGCCTTACCTTGGTTGCTTTTGATCCCGCAATCTTTTTGAAAAGCGAAATGTATTGATGAATGCTAAATACAAGGACCGCGTGAGAATATTCATTGATAGCCGCTGCCCCTTTGCGTCGAATTAATTAAGGACCTCCTGATCTGATCTACTCTGTCCACCCCGTTCATGAACAGATTGTTCGCGACCACCATTGCTGGGACGTCAAATGTTTTGCGATGCAGCAAGCGGTCTAGCGTCGAGCGTCGCAGTGGGGCAAGCCCACGACAAAGCCTCGTTGCCTCAGCGGATGTGCCTGGAGGTGAACGCTGCGAAGGTGTACCAGCCAGGTCATTTGTGTAGAAATTACAGTGAGCTTGTCAGGAAAAACGATGTACCCTGCACTAGTAGCTATACACATTGGTGCCATATTCTCTGTCTGTTGGTGTGGAGGTAACTTCTTCTGAGCTTGCTTGTGCTTCTCTTGTTGCATGTGCCAGTCCGACGGCACATCTACCGCTGCGACCAGCTCCCACGAGCCACGTTCAGCCTTGCCAATTTTTGATTCAGCTGCTTCTAATTTCATGGCATTTGGAGTTATATACGGACGGTACCCAACATCTTCATCTCGCCATCCGTAAATGCCAGCAACGTCTTAGCCAATTTGTGTGTCGTGTAAAAGCTATCACAAACCAGCAGCCTATGGCCAGTAGCTGCCTCATGCAGTTTAGTTAGTTGGCCACACATTGCGACCCATAGCGCGCTGGCATCTCTCCGATCCATGGGAATGTCAGTACGCTCAAACGTCCTGAATAATGCTGACCGCAGCCCAGGAAACACTCCGACGATCTTTCCGCAGGGGTTGTCCTCGTCCGGTTACCATATCCGCTATTCCAAACTGAGTATACACACAAACTCTCCCACCCCACTACTGCGTAGAGGCGTGCGCCACATTTATCTAGCTTGAAATGCAATAATGTCCTCGCAGCGGATCAGGCTTTGGCGCGCACTGTGCTCTCGTCGAGACTCACAGCTTCTACGGGCACAGCTATTGCAGCAAACATTTTCTGAATCTGAGTCATAAGTCGCCAACTGTGCCTTAGTGGATCATGTTCCCGCCGCTCGACAGGAACGCTTTCTGGTGCATGAATCTGGAAGCCATCTCTAATGCTCTCAAACCGATTCCTTGGCATGGTCAAGGAGAAATCAAATTGCCCTATAAATGAATTTTACGACCAAAGCTCCTTGACACGTGACTGGGTTGAAGCTCATAGCTATCTCCAGTTCTATGTACGCATCGAGCTCGTAGACAGTAGCTTCATGTTTGCCTTTGTATCTGACCATTGAGCTGGTCTAAATGAGCAACGAGTCATGAAAAGCTCTCGTGAAGAAAAGAGAGAGGAGTCCCAGGTCACCGCGCTTTTTGTAGACTGCCTTCACTTCTCCGTCTCTTACAATGTGTGGCCCGCAGCCCTAGATAATACCGTCTATATACGCACTGCCTGTTCTGCGAGATACCAACATCAGCTCCTGTGTTGATGGCACTAATTCGTTTTCTGATTCTGTCGCGACCTCATGCTCCTCGTTTGACGTGATGGCGATATCACCGTTCTCCACCTCCTCGGTATCAGACGTCTCAAATTCCCAGTCAGATCCGTTGGCATCGTCATTCAATAGTTCTGAGATGTCCATTGCAAGAAGAGCGCAAAATGACTACAGGTAGTGAATGCAGTCAAATTTGTGTGGCTATCACGGAACCTCAAACTATTATGTGCCGCGGTACTGCTACGGGGATGGGCTGATACGGGTCCGATGGGACCAGTGCAGTGGGTGTTTATAGGCCTGATCATAAAGACGCGTATAAACACCTCAAAAGACTGTCTAAAGTACAACTGGTGTTCAAACGGTGCAGTAAACACGGTACAGTGTATCCAAAAAAAAATTGACACTGTAAAATGCCGAATAGAAGACCCATTGGGAGGATGCGCATTTTTGCTAATTAACAACATTAAGTTAGCGAAATGAAAGGTAATTACTCAGCGCACCACGTAAATACAGTTTTAACCAAAATCGTTGCGCGAGCGAGTGAAATTCTCCGCGGACCGCCATTTTGCCTATGAAAACCCACTGTAACGTGCCAATTTGGCGACTTGCGAAGGTTCTGAAAAGCACACCTCCAGTGCCAGCGTACCTCCCCTCTACACCTCGGCTGCACAGCCCCACTTGACTATACAGTCCGGGTCGACCATACAGTCACCCAACGCTATACAGCACCCCTTGACTATACAGTCCGGGATGACCATACAGTCGCCCAACGCTATAGAGCACCCTCCGATTATACAGTCCGGGTCGACCATACCGTCACCCAATGATATTCAGCACCCTCTGACTATACGGTCTGCGCTCTCAATTCAAGAGCTCTCCACCGAAGATGCACTCTCCACTGCAGAAGCCAGATTGGCGAGGACCCCAAACACTTGCGCCCAGTCGTATCAAGCCCAATTGCAACCAAGATGCACGATGATGCTACACAGCGACGTGACCTAATAATGGAGCTACGTACAGCGGAAATGACCAAGGTGTTCTCTCGATTCGGCGTTGCACTGCCTGAAAATAACTACCCTATCTCACGGGAAGGGGCAACCGGCATGAAATTTCTACTAAACAAGCCACTCCAGCGTGCGCTGTCAGATCTCGCAAGACGGTCAGCCTTATCGCTACCAGACTTCGTGGAGCTTGTTCGGGGGCAAACTGCGGCCGATTACCGACCAAACAAGAACATGGAGCTGTCTGTCCTGGAAAATGTGTGCAAGGGCTACCGCCATTTGAACCTACCTCAAAATATCGTTCGGAAAGGCGTTGAAGTTCATCTGAAGGAGTCACCACCCCAGCAGTCTGTTCGCCCACCAAACCACGGATCTGCATCCGAGTGGATCAACATCCTGCGCAAGAACATCAGAAAGGAGCAAGAGGCCTGGAGATGTTTGGTACTAGACGCCGACCTCTTGGAGCAGTGGCCGGAAATCATCATCAGTCCGTTTGGCGTCGTTGACAAAGGGGGAGAAGACTCCACAGTGTCCGGCCGTACCATCCACGATCTGTCCTACCCGGAGGGCGCATCCGTCAATGATTACACGGACCAGAACAGCATCAACAAGCCCGATTACACCCATTGCGATACTCTCTCTCGCGAGATTTTGAAAGCTTAATTTTTTTTCCTGGCGCAAAAATTGCTGTGATGGCTGGTGACGTCGGGACGGCTTTCCGCAACATCAGCATTCACAGCAACAGCGTGTATCTGTTCGCTGGTCGGATTGAGGAAGAAGACGCGATAGTTATCGAGCTCTGTGCGCCGTTTGGTTGGACCGGTTCACCAGGGTTTTACGAGATTTTTTGTGGAGCAATGTTCCACGTTCACGGCTCCCATACGAATGCGGTCTCCCCGAATGGTTTCTTTGTCTATCACTGGGTTGATGGCAACATTAACGTAACACCGGACATTGGTTCTTCGTGCTGCGAGATGGACCGCTCCCTCAGGTATGCCATGGTAACCGTACTAGGCGCTGACGCCATTAGCACCGAGAAGTTTACCGGCTGGAGCACGCGCCAACGCGTACTCGGGCTCGAGTTTAATTCGGAGGCCGGAGAGGTCGCCTTACCGGACACTAATATTTGTAAGGCTCGCAGGATCGTTGCGTCTGCTTTTCACGCCAAGACACTCTCTAGCAAGGAATACCGATCGCTGCTGGGTAGCCTGCGCCATGTGGCTACTTGCGTTCGGGCCGCTCGACCTTTCTTACAGCGCCTCCGCCAACAGGAAGGTCATCTTCACCGGTTTCAGAACGTCCTGGTCTCCGACGATATGAAATCGGATCTACTATGGTGGTGGCTGATACTGCACACTCCCCAACTGAATGGTGTGTCTTTGGAATTCTTCAACACGCTGCCATCTCCCGACATTGTGGTCGAGATGGATGCTTCCGACTACGGCCTCTGCGCTCTCGACCCGCCGCCAAGGAAGCGCTGACGCACGCATTTACTGTATCGGAACGCCAATTGATCACGGAGTTCAACCGGGGTGTCTCTAACGGTTTCGATATCAACTACCGTGAGCTACTGTCCGGTGCATTCGCCGCTCACGCCTGGGGCCCCCGGTGGTCCAAACGCTCATCGCATCAAGTCCGGCCTACGCACGTGCACTTCCGTATTGACAATTCGTCTGCGGTGGCATGGCAAAACAAGCTGCCATCGCGTAACCCCCGCGCCCAGGTTATTATCCGTCTCTTAAGCTGGTGGAGACATCGCTCGGACTCCGCTTTTCTGCGTCGCACATCGCCGGTGCTGACAATGCTCGCGCTGACGCCGGCTCCCGCTCCTCGGCAAACCCATCACTTGCAGCGCTGTTTGAGTCACTAACCCTAGGCTGGTTACAGGTATCTCCGGCGGTGGACGTCCAGGGTCTAACCAATATCTGGCTGCGTATCTCCGCGCACACTCCGTTGCCAGCTCCACCTTCGACCAATACAGGCGGGCACTAACCAAGTGGCAGGTTTGGACCTCGCGAAGGGGTGTTTTTTTCACGGCTTCAAGGCATGTCTCTCGTCGACCAAGTGCAGCACATCTCGGATTTTGTGTTACACGGATTTCAGCTCGGTTTTGGCTCCGGTGGTCCGATCCGCAGTGATTCCATCATGACGGTCCTCCAAGGCATCCGTCATTTCTCCTCCGCCCTTGGCTACGACATTCCAGTCTCACACCCGCACATACGTATGCTGCTCAAAGGCATCAGTCGCCTCGACAGACCACGTATCCGGAAGTCACCCGTCTCTCTCGATCTCTTAGAGGCCTGCTTTCAGGGCATGGCCTGCTTTCAGGGCATGACCCTGTCTGATCCCTTTGAACAAACTCTTTGGGGGGTTCTGTGCTGGGCATTTTTTTCCTACTGAGGCGCTCCGAAATTGTGGCGACCAGCAGAGGCTCTTTCAATTGGTTTGCACTACGAGCTCAAGATATCGTGACTGTAGATGCCCACGGAACTGAGACCCTAATTCCGTCAGAGGCTCTTTCAAGTGGTTTGCACTACGCGCTCAAGATATCGTGACTGTAGATGCCCACCGAACTGAGACCCTAATTCCGTCAGAGGCTCATTCGGTGTGGATTCGCCTGGTGGGATCGAAGACAAACCAAGGTGGAGCCCCAGCCACTAGGGTACTCTCCCGTTCTGGGCATCGCTTCTTGTGCCCAGTGTTTGGAGCCCTCATCCTGCTACAAGCGAGAAAAGACCTCCCCGCTGATATTCCGGCCGCGGTCTTCATGTCACGCCACGGCAGACCGATGGCCATCTCGACTGAGGACGTCTCCAGCATCATCAAGACAGCTGCTGGCCGCGTAGGCAAAGACCCGTGCCGCTTCAGCTCGCACTCCCTGCGCTCCGGAGGTGCGACGCATATGTACCGGTCAGGGACGGACGCACTGACAATTCAGTTCCATGGCCACTGGGTGTCGGACGCGTACAAGACTATACAAGACTCTGCAAAGGATCCGTGGCCAATCTGTCTGCGTCCATGATAACTGGGCCCAGGGGTGATTCAACGTTACATTGATGAGGCTGATTGCACTACCATCTATTGGGGGCACCGCTCTCCTCGTCCCTTTTTCGGACTGAGCTGATGGTCATTGCATAAGCTCTCATTAATGAAACTGTGTTTGACCCCCCATGGTTTGTGGAAAGGTGTATTCCATAGTGGAGCAGAGTGAAACAAGGGAATTGTGTTTTCCACACGAGATAACGCACCGGTATACCAGTGCTAGCCGGTATTGCCTCCTTCGCTTGTCTGCTGCGAACCACACGTGTCCTACCCTCACATTTCGCAATCGAAAGAACAAGCAGCAAGCAGCTCAAGAATTACCCGCCTCTCCTCGTCCCTTTTTCGGACTGAGCTGATGGTCATTGCATAAGCTCTCATTATTGAAATTGTTGTTTGACCCCCATAGTTTTGGAAAGCTGTACATTCTGGCGCAGATGCAAACACGTCATGGATGCTGATACTCTGTCTTTCGAACTTTGCTAATAAATAAGCCTTACCCATCTCCATGCTTGGTAAGCTGTTGTGTGGGACCAACGCAGCACTGCTAAATCTGCAGGTCTGTCTTGGGAATCTCGTACCTGCACCTTACTTGACTTTTTTCACCATAGTTAACCAATCAAAATGCCGAAATATGCCATGCGCCACTTCCAAAATATTGATGTATTTGTGAACGCTTAGTAACTTCTTAGTTAGAATATTCTGATGCTTTATCTCTCTAATACTGCTCTAAGTCTATTTTGTTATTTTTGTCTGTCGATGTGTAGCAGATCTGGGATCCTTGTAGCAGATCTGGGATCCTCGTTACAGAGCTTTGGCGGTCGTCTGACCGGACATTGGACTCACCTCCTGCTGGCTGCCGTCGGAGAAGGCACTATGTAACCGCGGTCCACCTGCGGTTCACGTGTTTGTAGGCATTGTTGGTTCTGAGCGCACTACGGCAGTTGATAAGGTAAAACAGGTTTTGCTAAAGAATCAATCTCACTTTTGCTTTCACTCTTTAGTGGAATTGACTACACGATGGCAGAAATCAACCAATATTTGATTTCTATCAAAGGGTATTTCTATCGTGAAGTCTTAACGCTAATGTGTATTCCAAGAGTAGGGATTACTACCGAAGGGTTCATCTGTACAGTGCTTTTAAGCACTTGTAACTTTTAAAAAAGTACAAGTAAAATAAAATTCATAGAATGTTTAACGGATGGCGTGATCGTCCGACGTCGCCGCCGTCAGCGACTTTGTTGACGGCTACGCGTAAGGTACTGTGCTGGTACATGTATGAATTTACGCGATGGAAATATAATCCCGCCTGGGTATCCTGCCAAAGATGAATGGGTGCTTGAGCGTTTTTCTAATAACTCAGTCTGGCAATCCGCTGACTGCTAACCCAATCGTTTCCTAAACAACCCACAGTCTCGCACAGTGTAAAACCTTCATGTTGAAGTTTGCACCCGACACTCGGATCTCGTCTACAACAGTGGGACTCTTCAGCAAATCATGCACACACTTTTCCGTGCGGAATCCGGAATCGCATCCCCCGCAAAAGCTAAACGTACAGTACCACAAAGAGATGCGCTGCGCGTGTTCGAGCAGCAGCCGTTGAAATTGGTTGGCGATGCTCCTCAATTGAATGCAGCGATTTCGAGCGCTGAATGTGAGCATCGGCCGACAGCTCAATCCCTTCAAAGGAGTCCCTCGGCACATGTACGCAGACCTGATGTATCTCCACTGGAGATTTTCCAGAGAGGCTCACCAAAAAAGGAAAATACATGTAAAAAAAGGATCGCTGTGCTCGAATGGCTCTTCTCTCCGCTGGAACATGCATGCAAGTTGCATTGCATTGCATTGCAACGGCGGGCTGGCAAGAGCCGGTTTTATATTTCAAATGCACAGGCGCAGGCGTAATTTAAAAGGCCGGAAAAGTCGAATTTTACAAACTTTAAAAACTAAAAATTAAGTCGCATTATTGCTGCTACATGTACATACTAAGGTTCGACGCAGAATAAACTCACAGAGCTGCATTTGAAAGTGTGGTACATATCGGACATTCACTTCAACATGATCAGTCAACACAGATCCACACTTTCATGGACTACCGTAGTTGATGTCGTCCGGCACCGCATCACGCAATAATAGCCGACCGTGGTCAAGTTCCACCACTTTTCTTTTGCTTGTTCTCGAGCATTCACATTGGAATTCGCCTCGTCCTGAACACAGCACAATGGAGTCGCCAACCAAGTCTGAAAAGCTCGTACAAGAAGACCCGCTGGAGATCGGGCGCGATGGCATGCCACCCGAGATCTGGGAAGATATGGTCAAGCACGAGAAGTTCATCTACTTCTCGCTCATGTTTCTCAACGGCTCGGTGCTCTGGGCCTACTACTCGTGTCTCAGTGCGCAATATTTTTACACAGTCGAGTTCCCACACTCCGGACTCGATTTCTCGTTCCTCACGACGCTGTGCACGGCCTGGCCCATGGTTCTCGGCCAGGGACTGCAGATGGTCTTTGGTCTTGACAAAAAATATAGTCAACGCGCCCGCGTACACGTAGGCTACTGCATCTTTATGGTTATGGCTATCCTCATCATGGTCTTCAGCGCGATCAACTTCTCCAATCAAAAGACCGGCGCGATTCTCGTGCTCGTGTGCTTCGGCTGCATCGGCTTCGGTAATTCGTTGTCCGAGGCCACATACTACACGTTTGCCGCGTTGTTTCCCATCGAGAAATTCACGAATGGGGTGCAGATCGGCAACACTTGCGCCGGTATCCTGAATATCACAGTGGCTACTGTGCTGCGTCTTGCTGTTGGAGGTGTGAACCAGACCAGTAGCTCCACGAAGCTAAGCTTCTATCTGTTCTTCAGTCTCTTGGTAATTGTCTTGATATGCGCCATCCTGCTCTACCGCTACTTAGTGAGTCTACCGTCGGTTAAATTCCTCATGGATCGCAACGAGAAGTCGGCCAAGGAGGAGCACCTCGCGCACCAATCGGTGGGACGGACGCTACAGAACCTAGGGCGAATCTTTGCTATCATTTGGGTTCCAGCCATCGCACAACTCCTCATCTTCTTCGTGTCGCTCTCGGTATTTCCGGGTTTTGGGTGCGCAGCATCGCGGAACCTGTTTCCGCCGTACAGCGAGGACGCTCACGACCTCACGTCAACATGGTACTGCTCTCCGGGTATCATTGGCAGCTACAACTACGGCGATTTCATCGGTCGTATCCTGTGTACGGCCGCAGTGTACCGCGTGGTAACCATGGGGTGGGCGTTCGGGCTGTCTGTCGTCCGCATCGCCTTCATTCCGTTGCTGCTCATGGGTGTGGCCGGCACGTCGCTCTACGCGTTCCCATCCGGCAGTATGGGCGCGCTGGCCTTCAACATCGTTCTCAATCTACTCATTGGTATTTCAACGGGCCTGCTTTCGACTGTCACGATGGGCGTGGCACCTCGAATGCTGAAGCCGGAAGACCGCGAATCAGGCGGCGCCGTCATGGTTTTTTTCCTGTTCCTCGGAATCGCCACGGGCTCGACATTTGGCTTCCTCGTCAGCGACAACGGATGGCTTGGTTTGTAGAGCACAACAGGAGTGGCAACTTTCTAAATTGTCATGAAATTTACTTGAAAGCAATGACAATATTCTGGTTCGTGTTTAATTTCAACAGGCACGCGGTAAGTTACAGCCAGGTTATGTTGAGCAAGCCGAGCCACAATCAGTCGATGGCTGGCGAATGCGTCCTGGCTACGAACCTGCTGGGCATTTCTTCCCGTTTGGCGGCTTCCTCCACCGGTTTGCATTAGTCTCACAAGTCGGTCATTCCGCAATTTGCCGAGCCAGCTTCAAGACCGCAAAAGAGTCCGATGGAGTCTCCCGGCAAGACCGAGAAGCTCGTGCCTGACGACCAGGTGGAGCTGGGCCACGACGGCATGCCCGAGGAGATATGGGACGACATGGTCAAGAACGAGCGCAACATTTTCTTCTCGCTCATGTTCCTCAACGGCTCGGTGTTGTGGGCCTACTACTCGTGTCTGAGTGCGCAGGACTTTTACACGGTCGAGTTCGCCGACTCGGGTCTGGACTTCTCCTTCCTCACGACGCTCTGTACGTCCTGGCCCATGGTCATCGGCCAGGCTATTCAGATGATCTGGGGACTCGACAAGAAGCTCACGCAGGAGTTCCGTGTGCGCGTGGGCTACGGCATCTTCATCCTCATGGCCGTTCTCATCATGATCTTCAGTGCCATCAACTTCTCCAACCAGAAAACGGGTGCCATCCTCGTGCTCATCTGCTTCGGCTGCGTCGGCTTCGGTAACACGCTCTCCGAGTCGACATACTACACGATCGCCGCTCTGTTCCCGATCCCCAAGTTCTCGCAGGCCGTGCAGATCGGCAACGGTACTGCTGGGATTCTCAACATTTCGCTGGCTACACTGCTACGTCTCGCTGTGGGCGGTGTCCACCAGACCAGCAGCTCTACCAAGCTGGCGTTCTACCTCTTCTTCGGCATCCTTATCGTTGTGCTTATCGTCGCTCTGTTTGTCTACCGTCGTCTCACTAACCTACCCAGTGTTAAGTTCCTGTTGGAGCGTAATGCTGCGTCGGCCAAGGAGGAGAACCTCACCAACCAGGCCGTAAGCAAGACTCTGACCAACTTGTGGCGCATCTTTTCTATCATCTGGATGCCTGCCGTCGCCCAGTTCCTCGTGTTCTTTGTGTCTCTGTCGGTATTCCCGGGCTTCGGCTGCGCTGCGTCACGTAACTTGGCCCCTCCCTACTCGGACGACACACACACTGTGACCAGCATCTGGTACTGTGCTCCTGGCATTGTGGGCTCATACAACTACGGTGATTTCTTCGGCCGTATCCTCACCAGCGCTGCCGTATACAAACTGCTCAACAGCGAGTGGTGCTTCGGTCTATCTATCGTACGTCTGGCCTTCATCCCATTGCTGCTTATGGGCGTGGCCGGCACGTCGCTCTACTCTTTCGGCCGCGACGACACGGGCGCCATCGCCTACAACATCGTCCTCAACCTGGTCATCGGCCTGTCGAACGGCTTCCTGTCGACTGTGACAATGGGCGTTGGCCCTCGTCTCCTCAACCCTGAGGACCGTGAATCCGGCGGCGCCGTCATGGTGCTGTGCCTGTTCCTCGGCATCGCCGGCGGCTCCACATTGGGCTTCTTCTTTAGCGACCAGGGCTGGCTCGGGCTCTAAGTTAGGGACGTCGCTTATTCTGCATTTACAGCATGAATACTCAAACATTTTACAATTTTTTTATCATAATCACTGCGACCGGAGTGTGGCATTATTGCCATCAACGCCGTCCTCAGCATCTGCCTCCGTCTCGCTGCTGCTATCGAACAAGACGTCCCAACCGAGTCCCCACGTGGCCAGTACATCTTCTCTTGCAGTTTGACGGAAGTGGCGCATCTTGGTCCGTAGATACATCTGAATCTCCGACCGTAATGCATCACATGGCTCCACCATCGCCATCGTCAACGGCTCACGCGTGAACGGGTCTCTTCCAGTGCTGCCTCCTTGTTGCGAAGACGCCAGTAAATGCCGCGCAATTACAGCACGATCGACGATGTTACCGGACGGCAAACGTACAGGATCCGTCATTAGCGTGCTGAGTAGCGGGTCGAGATACTGGTCCGGGATGTCTCCAAGACAAGCCTCCATGGCCTCTTGGACGTGGATCATCTCATCCGCTTCTTGCATCGCACGGACGAACTGCTGAACCCACGCGTCGTCCAGATACAGATAACCTTCGTCCACATCTTCTCTCTCATCAGAGTTATCAGAGCTTCCACGCTGCGGCCGTAAGAAGCGACAGCCGCCAACAAAAAGCCTGAAGTCGAAGCGTCCGTCCTTGGCCAGCGTCGCGATGAAGCGCTTACTCAGCCGCTTCTTCGCCGCAGTATCCACAACAGAGACGGTACTCGACACAGCTTGCTTCTCGAGCAGAGCGAGCGCCTCGTCCTCATCCAATTCGTGTCCTGCTTGAGTTTCTACCCGTATATCTTCCACGTCGTCATCCAAACTTGTGCCAAGATAACTCTCCGACTCCATTCGCGTACATAAAGCGTTGAACCCCCAACGTACATGCGTGTCCAAGTCTCCTACTCGTTTGGCCATGATATCGCCACCAGACCGAATCATCTTCCAGAAGGACGAAGGCGAGCAAGCACCTGAAGAAGCTCCAGACTTGACCGCGCTGTGACCGGCATAACGTACCACGAGAACAATCAAGTGAGCCAGCAGCAATCTCCCGTCGTCCACCAGTGGCAACGAGAACTTCCACTCGTTTTCTTCGTGTGCACTCGCCAACGAAGCCACGAGGAAACTGAGCGTACGCGCTGCTTGTTCCACGACGAGAGGCTGTAACAAGACGTGCCGTAGCGCTGCAGCGGGAGCCGATAGAGATCGCGAACGGAAGCTTCTCTCCCCACTGACAATCGAAGCGAACCAGGACGTCGACTCCAGCGCCTCTAGAAGCAGACGCATGGTCAGACGCAAGTGCTTTGCGTTGATGGCCACGTACCCATCCAGCATATCGCGTCGGAAAGGCAGCACCACGACGCTCCCGTCCAGCGAATCTTCAAGGAGATCGTGAATCTGCCGCAGAGTTGTGATCTTGTTGTTGGCCTCGTCGAACAGCTTGGCGATATCACTCCATAAGCCACTTACAAGCTCTGTGAGCTGCTGGGTACTGTCGGTACTGGGCTCTGCAGATACTGATGTATGCCGAGTCTCGGACGTGCTCAGCATATGCAGAAGACTCTGGCGAGCACTCGGTACTTGCCACAGATACCGCAGCAGCATCGTCACGGAGAGTCGAGTGGGCAGAAAGCCCCACAGCATGTGATCTCCACTGGACACGGCACTAGTGAAGGCCAGACCGTTGTTGCTGGCATTGTAGCGATCCATATCGGCATGGAACTGTAGAAGACCAGGAGTCAGGCACTGCGACAGGAGTCTGTGGCTCTTGAACAACGACTCGATCCGTTGATATCCCGGACGATGGTGTACTTGTTGACCCTTGGATACGAACGTCACTAGAGTCGTGAGAGAGCGCAGCGCTTCGATTCGAAGATGCGGGTTCTTGGTGAACTTTGGAGCGACCACTATCTGAGTCAGCATCACCAGTAGAGGCTCCACAACTTCAGTAACTTCGTCCACTGCTTCACAGGGTGGCCTGGTTCTCTTCAGCTCGCTCACGAGATCACGGTACTCCAATCTTTCGAGCCCCAAGAGGTGCACGACGTCGCATAGATCGAAGAAGAAATGCTCAGGAAACCCACTGAACATGGACGAGAAGTGAGAGATCGGCTCACTGAACGGATCTTGCGGTGCTTTCCCAGTCTCAGGAGCTGCAGAGGCTGAGTACAGCAGCCACCGACACGTCCGTGCGTAGAATATCAGCCACCCCGCTACATTAGCGCTTGCTAGCAAGTGCAACTCCACCTTGACACACTTCACGCGAATGTCCTCGAGACGAGACTTGCTGGCCTTGTAGTGCACAGATGGCTTGAGCGTTTGACGCTGCGAGCCATTCCGACTTGATCTCTGGTGTCTCTCCAGCTCGAACCGCTCCTCGTCACAGGCACAAAAAGCTTGCAGTTCCCGGAGTTCCTTCGTCATACCGAGCCATCGAGACAACGTCGCAAGCGGACCGAAGTGCAGGTACTTGAGCGTAATGTAGAACATCTCAGTGTCACGAGGAAAGCGACGACGCGGGATCAGTGCCGGTGGATGTAACAATCGTCGGAAGTGTAACTTTCCCAGCACATAGTCCCAAGGAACGGACAGATGACGCCGCCAGGGGTCGGTAATTACAAAGTAGACATGTCCAGGCGCGTGCATGTCGTTCGGGTTGCCCTCACTCAGCCTCTCTTCGCGTGCCAGGCAAGCAGCACACACGACACGACTTGACAAGCAGTTGGCGCACTTGTAGAACACCTCGTCTGGCTGTCCACTGGCTCCCAACGCGTCTCCGCAGTCAGCACAATGTATCCTCGACCCCTCAAAGCCTTCGTCCAGTACAGAACACGACTCGCCCTTGTGCTTGCTCGTCAGACACTCCACAGGAAGAGACTGGAAGTGCTTCAAAGCGAACACAGGGATCGGCGATTCAATGCGAAGGAAAACGTGGTCCGGACTGTGCAGAATCGACTCGGATTCCGACTCGGAGTCAGGAGCTGCTTGATGGGAACGGAAGATCTCGAAGCAGTCGCTGCATAAATCCATGTCTCCACAGAACGCACACTTGTAGCGCACTCCATGAAGGTTCGGGAACTCGCACTGGTCGCACACGACGCCTTCGTGACACGAGAGTCGAGGATAGTACGTAGACGGCACTGCTCTCTCTCCTTCCTCGTGCTCCTGTTGCCTCCGCTTGTTGTACGCAGCAATAGCATCCTCATCACGAGCCTTAATTTCACACGTTTCAACACCCGCAGCGTTCTCGTTATGCGTGTCTTGACTACGAGAGTAGTGGAGCGGCACCTCCGGGAAGTCCTTGCTCGCATACACACGTACGGGCTCCACACTCTGATGGTAACTAGCATCGATCCGACTTGGGTCATGCTGAGCTTTGTCCAGTAGAGGAAGCGCATGAGCAAGTAGCATCGTCGTCACGTTCACTAGAAAGCCATCCAGTCTCTCGTGAGCGTCGTAGTTCAATCGTCTTCGCGGATCCGCTGTCATTAGCGCGAGTGCAAGCCAACACAGCGTCGCATCCACTACGATTGGGTCTTGCCCCTCTGCCAGTAGAGTCTGCATGATATTCTGCAAGGTCTCGCGCAACTCTGCGTAGCCACTGGTCCACTGTGCACGTAGACAATCAGCCACTACTGAGCCATGGTTTGCAGCTCGTACAGCCGCGTCGAGGTCGTGAGTCTCGTCCAGCATGGTAGAAGCCCGCAGAAAAGGTCCTAGCAGCGTACTCAGCGACATGGTCCACGTGCGCATGAACAACGGGAACCACGAACATGTTGCTCTTCCCGACGAAGGAACGGACGCTGGCGGAGACGTCACTAGAGCGATGGCTGCGCTTTTATCCGACGCTGCTAATCTGAGAAATAGCTGCGCAAACTCTGCCGCTCCCTGGAAATTATGAGGATACAGCTCCAGCACTCGTCGTCGCAGTTCCTGTGTGATCTGACGAACCACCACCTTCCCCGTCTCGTGTTTTAACTGCGGTACGACCAACGAGAAGAAGCGGTCGGACGTCAGTTTGGTCAGCTCTTCAAGCGGACTGCTAGCAGGCGGGTTCGTCACGTTAGGGATCCTCGTGAAGCACTCTCGACACAGATTGAAGTTGCACGCGGCGCAGCGATACACACAGGGCGCGTCACTACCTGTGGTCTGCGAAATACGCTCGCAAACGGAGCATGCCCACTGCTTTGCCCCTAGAAACGCGCGTAGCGGCATCGATGGCAGCAAAATGTGTCCATGGAACGTGTGCTTTGTACCGACATTGCGTGGCTGTAGCAGAGCGTTCACCACCGCCACGTTCATGAGTTTGGACAACTTCTCTGCGGAATCCACGACGCGTTTGTGGCTCACAGGCGCCCAAAGTTGCAGCAACTCGGCAGCTGCAAACGCCAACGCTGCGTCCACACTGGCCAGAGCGTCCACCAGTGTCTCCCCGAGCACGGAGTCCTCCTCTATGCGTCCCTGTTGCCTCCTTGTGGCTCTCTCCAACGCTCGCATTATCAGATAAAGCGCCTGCATGAAGAAATTGGCCTTCGGAACGTGTTCCGGAAGGTCCTTGAAGGCCTCACCCGCCCATAAATTGTTATTAATGACTCTGGACTCCCGTACCGGTGACTTTTCCCGTGTCCGAGGGCTTAGAAGCCACAATCTGCGGGCCGTGGGCTCCTCTGTGTCTCTGTGGGCCTCTTGGGCAATTTTTTGTCGCTGCGAGAGCGCAATACTCTGCCTCTGAACCTCCTTCCACCACTCGGCAGCGTCTACTGCAACCGACTCGCCCGCTGAGAATCGTAATGAGGGGGACAAAGTGTGAACGTCCAGTAGCTGCGCCACGAATCGCGTCAACGCGCCCAAAAGTTGGAGGTAAGAAGATGCGTCGTCGATAGCCACAGAGAGCGAGGAGTCACGTGACGCGCGCTGTGAAGTGGACAAGGAGGCGTTCAATGAATCGGGGAGCGCATGGACGTCCTCTGAGCCTCCTTGGGCGCGAGCACAGACAAACATTACAATTTCGAAGTGGCGGCCGGAGTTTTATGGATAAGTGACATGTTGGAGCAACACTCGATTGGCCTGAAGATTGTAAGGGCGACATAGGCAAAAAAGATTTTTTTGCAGCCTTTTTTTGGTGTGGAGTTTGATGTTAGAAAAAGTGATGGGGCATCTCATAGTTAATACTTCAGATCTGAAATGTTTAAAAAAATGAGATCCAGAATGATGAATCGACTGCACCAACAATCAACATTTTAAACTCATTACATACTACGCTTTACGTCAATTTACTGAATTCACCAAGTCGATCACTTACGCATACCTCGGTATTGTCTATTAGTCATCAGCATCGTAGAAGTAGATTAAAAGACAAACTTTAAAAAGAAAGTGAAGCACATCTAAATTTCTATTGATTTACTCATGGACAAAACGATTAACTCCGATTCCACTACACACAAATGGCTTACAATGCTGGCGGACTACCAATCCAGATGCGAGTCCTGGAGCATTGGGTATTGCAGACCTGCCAGCT